CTGGGGTGTGGGCTCTGGGAGGCTGTTTGGGTGGGGTGGGGGTAGGGGGTGGGGGGGAAGGCTGCCAACTCTGAGTAAAGCTATCCTGGGAGCTCCTCCTCCCGCCGCGAGGTACTGTTGTTTGCTTAAAATGCCGCTTAAAATCTCCAGGGTTGCTTTCGATAGTCACCTGGAAATTGATGACAATTCTGGGAGAATCCAGGCCAATCCTGGATGGTTGGCAACCCCTAGGGCTACGTCTACACTGGCCCCTTTTCCGAAAGGGGCATGCTAATTTTCAACTTCCTGGGAGCTCCTCCTCCCGCCGCGAGGTACTGTTGTTTGCTTAAAATGCCGCTTAAAATCTCCAGGGTTGCTTTCGATAGTCACCTGGAAATTGATGACAATTCTGGGAGAATCCAGGCCAATCCTGGATGGTTGGCAACCCCTAGGGCTACGTCTACACTGGCCCCTTTTCCGAAAGGGGCATGCTAATTTTCAACTTCAGAATAGGGAAATCTGCGGGGGATTTAAATATCCCCCGCTGGATTTAAATAAAGATGTCTGCCGCTTTTTTCCGGCTTGGGGAAAAGCCGGAAAAAAGCATCTAGACTGGCCCCGCTCCCCCGGGACCTCCGGAATAAAGCCCTATTCCGGAGGATCTTTTAAAAGTTTTCCGTTAAAAGCATTTGCGGAAAAGAGCGTCTAGATTGGCATGGACGCTTTTCCGCAAAAGCACTTTCTGTGGTAAAGCGTCCGTGCCAATCTAGACGCTCCGCAAAAGAGCCCCCAATCGCCATTTTCACAATTGGGGCTTTTTTTGTGCAAAACAAATCTGAGCTGTCTACACTGGCCCTTTTGTGCAAAAGCTTTGCGCAAAAGGACTTTTGCCCGAACGGGAACAGCATAGTATTTCCGCAAGAAGCACGGATTTCAGACAGTAAGAAGTCAGTGTACTTGTGGAAATTCAAGCGGCCAGTCTAGACACAGCTGAGGAGTCTCCTCTCACCTTGCAAGGGGCTCCATACTTAGGCTATGTCTACACTGCAGGCTTTTTGCACAAGAATAGCTGCTCTTGCGCAAAAACTTGTGGAGCGTCTACACTGCACACACAATCTTGCGCAAGTAAATTTACAGTACAGCGTCAGAACAGAGGGCTTCTTGCGCAAGAGTTATTCCTCTCCCCAGGAGGAATAAGCCCTCTTGTGCAAGAGCTCTTCGGTAAGAAGACAGTGTGGACAGGCAACAGGGGTTTCTTGCGCAAGAAACCCCATGGCTAAAATGGCCATCAGAGCTTTCTTGCACAAGAGAGCATCCACACTGCAATGGTTCTTGCACAAAAAGCCTGCAGTGTAGATGTAGCCTTAAAGTCAACCAGACAAACCCTCTTGCGCAATGCCGTTTACTTGAGAGGAAGAACGGCATTGCGCAAGAGGGTTTTTCTTGTGCAAGAAGGGGCAGTGTAGATGCTCCTCCTTGCGCAAGAGCCTCTTCTGAAAAAAATGGTGGCTCATTAGGTATGCAAATGAGGCTTGGCAATTTTCCATGCTTAGCTTCATTTGCATATTACTTGCTCAAGAAGCCGCGAATGTAGATATAGCCTTGGAGTGCCAGCTGGAATCATTATTGCTTCCAGCTGCAGGGCTGAGGGGGGAGTGAAAGCCTAAAGCCTAGCTGCGTGATCTGGCTTGCAGGCAAGAAGCACTCCTCCCTTTTCCCGAGGCGGGAGGGAGAGGCTAGAGCGTCAGCACGGGCTCCCTGTTCCAGGAGGAAGAAGGGGGGCTGAGCTTGAGCTATGGACCACCAGGAAGGCGGCCACAGAGCTCCCTCATGCTGACTTCGGGGACCATGTGTGGATGCATTTGCACCTTTCGCACCTCCCCTGCGTACGGGCCTCAAGTGGTTGAAAATCTGAAAGTGGAAAGAAGCTTGGGTGAAAGTGATCATGAAATCATGGAGTTTGTTATTCTAAGGAATGGTAGAAGGGAAAACAGCAAAATGAATACAATGGATTTCAAGAAGGCAGATTTTAGTAAACTCAGAGAGCTGGTAGGTAAAGTCCCAAGACTAAGAGGAAAAATAACTGAAGACAATTGACAGTTTTTCAAAGGCACATTATTAAGGACCCAAAAGCAAACTATTCCACTGTGTAAGAAAGATAGAAAGTATGGTAAGAGACTACCTTGGCTCAACTAGGATATCTTACATGATCTAAAAATAAAAAAGTTGTATAAAAAGTGGAAATTAGGTCAAATTACAAAGGATGAATACAAGCAAATAATGCAAGTATGTAGGGGCAAGATTAGAAAGGCAAAGGTACAAAATGAGCTCAGTCTAGTTAGAAACATAAAGAGTATCAAGAAAACGTTCTACAAATATAGTAGAAGCAAGAGGAAGACAAAGAACAGGGTTGGCCCATTGCTCAGTGAAGAGGGAGAGACAATCACAGGCAACTTAGATATGGCAGAGGTGTTTAACAACTTCTTCGTTTTGGTTTTCACCGAGAAGATTGGTGGAGATAGGATGCCTAACATAGTGAAATCTAGTGGAAATGGGGTAGGTTTAGAAGTTAAAATTAAAAGAACAAGTTAAAATGGCTTAAAAAGTTAGATGTCTTCAAGTCACCAGGGCCTGATGAAATGCATCCTAGAATGCTCAAGGGGCTGATAGTTAAAGGCTCAGATACCTCCTCTATCTGCTTTGAAAAATCATAGAAGTTGGGAGAGATTCCAGAATACTGGAAAAGGGGAAATATAGTGCCTATCTATAAAAAGGGAAATAAGAACAACTCAAAAAACTACAGACCAGTCAGTTTAACTTCTGTGCCAGGAAAGATAATGGAGCAAATAATTAAGGAATTCATCTGCAAAGATCTGGAAGAAGATAAGGTGATAGGTAATAGCCAGCATGGATTTGTAAAGAATAAATCATGCCAAACCAATCTGATAGATTTCTTTGATAGGATAACAAATCTTGTGAATAAGGGAGAAGCAGTGGATGTGGTATACCTAGACTTTAATATCCCCACATGGAAGCTATTTCATAACTTGAATAATTTTGTTGCCCTTCTCTTTGGCTACGTCTAGACTGGCATGATTTTTCCGGAAACGCTTTTAACGGAAAAGTCTTCCGTTAAAAGCATTTTCGGAAAAGAGCGTCTAGATTGGCACGGACGCTTTTCCTCAAAAACACTTTTTGCGGAAAAGCGTCTGTGGCCAATCTAGACGCGCTTTCGTCAAAAGAGCCCCCAATCGCCATTTTCACAATTGGGGCTTTTTTTGTGCAAAACAAATCTGAGCTGTCTACACTGGCCCTTTTGTGCAAAAGCTTTGCGCAAAAGGACTTTTGCCCGAACGGGAACAGCATAGTATTTCCGCAAGAAGCACGGATTTCAGACAGTAAGAAGTCAGTGTACTTGTGGAAATTCAAGCGGCCAGTCTAGACACAGCTGAGGAGTCTCCTCTCACCTTGCAAGGGGCTCCATACTTAGGCTATGTCTACACTGCAGGCTTTTTGCACAAGAATAGCTGCTCTTGCGCAAAAACTTGTGGAGCGTCTACACTGCACACACAATCTTGCGCAAGTAAATTTACAGTACAGCGTCAGAACAGAGGGCTTCTTGCGCAAGAGTTATTCCTCTCCCCAGGAGGAATAAGCCCTCTTGTGCAAGAGCTCTTCGGTAAGAAGACAGTGTGGACAGGCAACAGGGGTTTCTTGCGCAAGAAACCCCATGGCTAAAATGGCCATCAGAGCTTTCTTGCACAAGAGAGCATCCACACTGCAATGGTTCTTGCACAAAAAGCCTGCAGTGTAGATGTAGCCTTAAAGTCAACCAGACAAACCCTCTTGCGCAATGCCGTTTACTTGAGAGGAAGAACGGCATTGCGCAAGAGGGTTTTTCTTGTGCAAGAAGGGGCAGTGTAGATGCTCCTCCTTGCGCAAGAGCCTCTTCTGAAAAAAATGGTGGCTCATTAGGTATGCAAATGAGGCTTGGCAATTTTCCATGCTTAGCTTCATTTGCATATTACTTGCTCAAGAAGCCGCGAATGTAGATATAGCCTTGGAGTGCCAGCTGGAATCATTATTGCTTCCAGCTGCAGGGCTGAGGGGGGAGTGAAAGCCTAAAGCCTAGCTGCGTGATCTGGCTTGCAGGCAAGAAGCACTCCTCCCTTTTCCCGAGGCGGGAGGGAGAGGCTAGAGCGTCAGCACGGGCTCCCTGTTCCAGGAGGAAGAAGGGGGGCTGAGCTTGAGCTATGGACCACCAGGAAGGCGGCCACAGAGCTCCCTCATGCTGACTTCGGGGACCATGTGTGGATGCATTTGCACCTTTCGCACCTCCCCTGCGTACGGGCCTCAAGTGGTTGAAAATCTGAAAGTGGAAAGAAGCTTGGGTGAAAGTGATCATGAAATCATGGAGTTTGTTATTCTAAGGAATGGTAGAAGGGAAAACAGCAAAATGAATACAATGGATTTCAAGAAGGCAGATTTTAGTAAACTCAGAGAGCTGGTAGGTAAAGTCCCAAGACTAAGAGGAAAAATAACTGAAGACAATTGACAGTTTTTCAAAGGCACATTATTAAGGACCCAAAAGCAAACTATTCCACTGTGTAAGAA